AAATAATAATAAAGAATACAGTTTTCCTTATTCTCTCTTGAATGAATTGAAGTTCATAATATATGAGATAATTGAGAAATTTATATATTATTGAAAGACTTTCAAGCTCTTACTGTCTAGAGCACTGACAATATTTTCTTTTTATAATACGAGGCAGTCATTAAATATTTAAATAAGTTTAGATAAATTCATATTAAAAAAATAAAACAAATATATAAATAGATGTATACAAATTTCTCTGTTAAGGTACTAATGGCTGTACGACTTTAACAGAACTAGTTTATATTCTCTTGAGGAAAATGTCTTGAGATTTAATTATATTATATATTATACGTCTTATGATTATATTAAATGCGTAATTTGATTGTTATACATATTGTGCTATTTATAGTTGGAGAATCGAGAACGTGTTGGCCTTGTGTTGATTACTCGATCAAGATTATTAGGGCTAATGCAGCCATTCAAATGTGATTAGGACTTTGTGTAAAATATTTACACAGGTTCTCCCCCAATGCTCGATGTCTGCTCGGATTATTAACTAACTTTCAACACTTTGGCTGTCGCCAATGAAATCCTTTAGACATTTATTCAAATGTTTTCCCATTTTTATAGTTATTTTATTGCGTTTTTTGGTTTTATCGGCTTTTCCTTGCTGTTCTAGGATTTTTAGGTGCAGACAAACTTTTGCCGCCCACCATTTAACCTTTTCACAATATGACCCTGTGCATTAATATTTAATAATCAACTGTAAAGTTCCCAAGTAGGAGCCAAGAGCTAAGCAATATGACAATGTGACAATAGGTCTCTAAAGCCTGAATCACCTTGATTAATTTATGGAATTTCTAATGTATATTTGGGGTGTTTTCCTTGGTATGTAAATGTTGATCCGTCTAAGGACAGATAAAGGTAGAGTATCAAGGATATGTGGTTTGGGAAAGCCCATAAAAGGAGAATCTAGCTCGGTTTGGGAAGGAGTCAAATGGGTCAAGGCTATCTAGAAGAAAGACAAACTAAGCAAGGACAAATTTACTGGAATAATTAACTGGAATATTTAATGCTGACACCATAATTATTTCGATTTCATTTTTTATCAATACTATATATTTATTCATATTAAAAATTATTTACATAGAATTAGCTACAATTATTTAGTATATCACTGGGTTAAAATTCTACTGTACAGTTTGACTAAAGCCGTAAGAACAAAGAGTTTAGATTAGATTGCCAGATATAAATCAGATAGACGTCTATCTGATTTATATATATGTCTCTTAGGAACTGTGACCACGTCTTCTGGCAACCTATATAGTCTGACAATACTTTGAACATCTGGACACTGAATATAGTCTAACTCTTTGTTTTCTTTGCCTCGCCCGCACTGGGAGTGTATGCTTGATTCTCGTAGCCCGCATAGTTGCCCAGCACCATGGAGATGCGAGAGGGTGAATGCTGTATGCCATTGGCTGTGGCCTGACTCTCGCTGGCATTGCCAGCCTGTTTGCTTGTGGTGGGTAATACAAAGCTGCCCTGACGACAGCTGCGCGAGATATAGAGGCGCAGCTTGAAGAATACGAAGAGCAGGGCGTAGATGCAGCAAGAGAGCAATAAGACGCATAAGACAGTCAGAAGAGCTGAGCTCGGTTGATTCCAATCAATCACATGGTATATGTAGGGCTTTCCCTTTCTACATTAGAATGAGAACAATATTTGAATAATGGGAAAACAATTTTGGGTACAACGATTACTCACTTGTTGATGCCGCCACATAAATGATATATGTAGGAAAATATGGCATAGATAATGCCAAATGTGACGGGCAGAAACACGTGTAGCAAACGCAACGGATGTGCCACAATCCACAGATCAATGAACATGCAAATCGAGTTGAATGCATGGGTGAGCACATTCGTGGCATCCAAATTACTTTCATTCGCTGCAATAGTTGTAGAGGAGAAAACAGAATTTACAATTTAAACTAGATCACAACAAGACAACACTCTACACAGGGCTTACCATCATAGAGTACGGTCCAGTAAATGATCGTAATCACAATCGATAAGACTAGCGTTATAATGTGCATGCTCCAATAAATTCGAAAAGGGCTTACCCAAGCCTTCATGTTGAGCAGCTTATCTGAGGAGGAAAAGTGAGTGCTTGAGATCGTATAACGTGACGAATGGATTCAAACTTACCCGCATACTCTGGATGATGGTGCCAAATGGTGACGAGTACGGCGCCCAGTAAATTGGTTAGCATGCACATCCAAATTCCCCAATTGGTCATATAGATGAAGTAGAGCCAGTAGCTGGACTCATCATCGGATCGCGGCCACATCGACTTAATGACAACGGCGATAAAGAAGAGAGCCATGAACCAGCGATAGAGCAAATATACCATACTCTTTGTACAGGTTTGCCACTGTAATTCAGAATAGCTAAGTATGAATATTAAGTCGAACGACTATATTTGTTGTATGTGTGTGGGTGTGTGCGTATTAGTCTAACAAAACCAACCGAAATACTAGAAGGTTGAAGGGCTAGAGTCTCGCTTTAGCTTGATTCAATGAGCCACACTGTTGTACCTGGCGCCACAAACGATGCATGGCAATATACAGTTAGTTCTGCCTGTTTTGCCGCTTATGAATATTTCAAAAGTTTAATTTACAATGCGAGTAGAAGCGGGTGTCCGAATCCCACCCGATTCGCCCAATTACCACCCAACCGCCACATTGATACTATTGAATGAAAGAACCTCATCAAATATGCTCAAGGTAAAACAATAAAATGGTTGAAACCAGTCAGTGGGCAACGCCCATTTCTTACAGTTTTGGTCTTTTGATTATACAAAGAAAATTATATAGAGACAATTGCTGCAGGAGCAACGTAAGTCGATCAATAGATGATATTATAGCTAGTTTTAGCGTTTATGTATAACAAAATATACTTTTAGGTAAAATACTACAAATACATATTCATGAAAAATTACATACATAAAAAAATACCATTACAACATAGGGTATAGATATATGTATATGTATATATAATATGCAATGATATTGGTTATAAAAAAAAATTAAAAATAGTATTTACAATATTTTATATAAATAATGGCATATAACTTTTTATATTTTTATTAAACAAAGTTCATTTCATAGAGAGAATTAAGTCTACGAATAAATAATATTTTCTTAAAATATTATCTTAAAAAAAAAAAAAAAAAAAAAAAAACAATCAAATAAATAAAAATTGTCTTATATATTAATACTACAAGTTTTTTTTATAATTTCTGTTTTTACTTTACTCAATAAATTATATATACTCTGAGTATATACTCTGAGTCTTTTAGTATATTAAAGGAAACTATACTATATATACACTTTAAGCTACAATATATAAGAAGTTATAGTACATTTATACCATTTATTAAATCTATTATTTAAACCTATTTACTTTTAGAGTTCGAACGACTCTCTGGGTATTATTAAGATATAAATTTGGTTATTTTTTTTTTTAAATAATATATATTAGCAGAAAGGTTTCTATCATAGAGTTCATTTCAAATAATTTACTACATAAAATTTATAGAAAAAATTAAAATTTGTTTATTACAATTAAATAAAATGGAAAGTATTAATTTATCTAAATATAATTTATTTATATACAAATTATACAAAATATAATTTCTCAACAAATATGTATATAAATAAAAAATTAAAGTATTGTTTATTACGCTGATGTATTCATTATCTAATATACTAGAAATATGTATTTTCACTATATGCATTTGCTAAGACAACTTTCTCATTCAATATGTCCAACTCTAACTTTCATCAGCTCATTTTGTCTTCCTCTTGATGACCTCTGGGCCTTCATATACTTAAGCCAGGAACAAGGCAGTTTAAACTCAGCATGTACATTGACCCCCATCGATAAATATATGTGTCCATATAAATAATACAAATGTTACGCACCCGGTGCGTGTCACTTGAAGGAGAGGCCACAAGGACGCGTACAATATAAATAACAATTTGTACGCTTACATTTGTACTTATATWTACCTATTTATTTATTTATTTATAAGTGTGCTATATTTACTCGAGCTCTTACCTGCGATTTGACAAAATCATCGGGCGTATCATGATCGAAGCCGCAGTGCTTACGTTTAAATTCCTTTTTCACTGGATGCAGTACTATCACCTGAAGTTTTGTCATTTTGCTGGCCTTCAAATGCACTTGATTAATTTCTGTTTTGTAATTTTTATTGTTGTTTGATCTGTGGAGATTTTGTTGTTTGCTGTTTCACAATTTTTTTAGTTGTGCCGAGACATGCAACGCAAATTATTATTCCAGAGTTGCAATTTGTGGAAATGTCATAGTTCTAGCCGTTTCTAATATTTGTGTAGCCGCGTCGAAGCTGTGAGCTGTGGATGAAAGAAAAATAAGTTGCTCATCAAATATAAGATGAATGTGACTAATTTGAAGCTAATTCCCATTAATACAAATAATTAGTCGCAAAGACAAAGAATAATTTGATAAAGTAGACAAGTGTATAGTATTTCAATATAAGTGTATAGTATTTTAGTATTTGCTAAGTTATTATTATTCTATAGATTTACCTATTTTGAGCTTAAACCATCAAGTTAAGCATATCTTTCATAGTTTGACAGCTAGAATATCTCAGAGGAATTTGTTGATCCCTTAAAAAAAAAATATTGACATTTTCAAAATATCATAATGCCGTCTGTAGCGCATTCTTTTAAGCGACTTGTTTAGTTAGAACATACGTACTTAAAACTAAACCTTTAATTTTAGTAGTTAACTCAATAGTGCAATCACTAGCAGTACAACAAAAATGTAATATAACATGTAATATAAAATCTCTTCGCTTTTAATTTATGGATTAATTTACAACAAATGTCAACATAAATAAATAGCTTATATATATCGATAAAAAAAAATATAGATGAGTTTTCAAAAAACACAATGATATAAATTTGACATACAAGACAGACTCAAAATTTGTTATCTTTAAGTGTGTGGACAGGAGGTATTTAAATCCAAGTCATCATTGATTAAAAATATGAATGCTTTAGGGCTGTACCCTCTACTGCTTATTACATAAGCTTGTTAAAAAATATATGAATAGGCTTTGTATATACAGTCTTAAGTGTCTCAAACGAAGATTTCCTTCTATAAATAATTATAAGAAAATTAATAGAGATATCTAAAAAAAAAAAAAAAAAAAAGAATCAATTTTATGCTCGAAATATATAAAATATAATATATTCTTACATATGCAGTTACATAAATATTTCAACTATTCCTTTAAACCGATCTGAAACTGTTTTAGTACATTGACAAGTTTTTCAAGCATTTCATCAACTGAGTAGCCCAACATGTAGTGTTTTCTGTTTTCAATATACTTTTTCATTCATAATTGTTTTTTTCATCGTCAACAACGAATCTTGTTTCTGTAATAATACTTTTTTTATTTTCGCTCTAAATTTTTGGACATGGACAAAGTAAGAAAGTTGGTGTTGACAACGTGGCGTCCAGTGTTGCAAGGTAAACTTGTATATTTTGATTGGTTTGCTCATGGACCCATATGCTTAATTGATTTTTGAAACCCCCTTGAAAAGTGACCCGTATGTGTTGTGATGCAAAGGTAAAGAATCTTGTGGCGTTTCCAGAAGTCAATATTGGCGAAGGAAAGCTGAAATATATTCTTGCCAAGGTTTACGTACATGGCGAAATGGGCCAGTCAAAGACTGTAATACGTGGTGTATCTCGAGTCAAATACCATCGTGAGTGCTAAAATCTCATTGAGAAAGACTTGATATTCAAAGAAAGTAAATATTTTTACTATCACCATTCAGTCGACGTCTATGATCAGTTGCAAAAGGAAGCCAATAAGCTAGATCTATGCACACAGTGCCTGGGCGGTGGCATAATGGTTCATGACAACGATAAGCATTATATCAAGATTTATGGTCGCTCTCAGACATTGGGCAGAGCTGATCATCACGAGGCCAGAGAGGTATTACACGAGCACGACAAGTATTCATCGTATAAAATTGATGCTGAATCTGGCGGACAGGATGCTTGAAATTGGTTTAGATATTCGAAATTGACTGTATTTCGATTCCGACCAAAACAATTCACTAATGTTAATAAAAATGTAATTAGGATACCTGCCCCAAAGATGCATAATATGTATCGAAAGTCGATAGCTCGATTACAGAGTGTCCAAAATATAGTTTATTTGAAGTTAGCTGGAGGAGTATCGAGTATCAAGTAATTGTATATTATTTCAAGTTTACCATGGCATTTTTCATTTATTTCGACTGACAAAACATCGCATTGTTCAGAGATTATTAGTATTGGTATCGTATCGGTATCGGTATAGTATAATATCGGTTTGAATTGATCAGTTATAAAATGTATTTCTTAGCTATCAGACATCGTTAACTAATTGTAATGTATTTTAGAGAGCCTAAGAACTATATTTTTATATGATCTAAAGCACTCTCTAAATCGACATCGAACGATGTCATAAACACATCTTTATGTCTGGCCTTGAAGCCGCCAAATATTGTAGTTGCTTACTCTTTACCTAATAATTCACACCTTAAATGATTTTCGTACTGGGAATCAAACGTTTTGTTACTACCAGCTATTCGATTATTATTATTATTATAGACCTATATATACCCCTTCAGGTTTCAGTCATATACAGCACTTTTTAAAGCTCAACGATACGCGATGCTTATTAATGGCTATATAAATTATTTTTGAATATTGAGTGATTCACTATTATTCACTTCAGTGCATTCGAATATTATTTATGCAAAATTATAATCGCTTATAATTGTAATCGCCGATTCATTATAATAAAACAATGAACTAGCTAAGGTCGACACCGTTCATACTAAAAAGGGCGTCATGAAATTGTTAACAAAGTACAAGGTGAGCATGTGTATATAAAAATTACTATAAAAATATTAAAAACTCGTACTGTAGGTCACAGTCTGAGTCGAGCGTTAGGTAATTTATAAAACAGTTGAAAGCTGCTTGCTTTGAAGTGCCAGGTCATAGATTTTCACATGGTGAAGTTTTTGTACTTTAGCTTATGGTCATATAATGGCCAGCTTAATTAAACGACAAAAATAAAAATAAAAAAAAAAAATAAAAAAAACATCTAAAAAGTCATAAGTGAAGCTTAAAGCAGTTTATTGCCCGGAAAACTCTCTAACTTATTATTTTAAATTAAGCTAAAGGTTATCCTTTATAGACGTTTCTTAACTAAATTAAAATTTACATAGGTTTTTAATTTTAATTTTTTTTTTTTTTTTTTGTAGTTGTTTTAAAATTTATAACTTTACAAATATAAACTTTTTAATATCAAAATTAAAAATTATATAGCTGAATACAATACTGAATTATGTGCCGATTTTTTTTTACTGAAATATTTCATAGTACTCGGAATACTATCTTGTTACTAGATACTCTTCTGTCCACTTCCGCTTAGCGTACATCGATTATTCTTAAATTAGTTATGTTCTTGTATAAAACACTTGAGCTTATGCACATGAAATTGAATTATTGCAAAGAAAAATAACAATTGCTTTATTTAATTTTCAGCATAATTGCGTAGCTGAATTATGATTATGGCTACTATTTCTGATTAAGTATGCACTTTTCGACAGCTGCTTTAGAAATGGAGAAACAAACTTCTTTTTCCAATAAAGTCTCCCTTGAAATTGAGCAATCAAATGCTAAAAACAAAGCAATAAAATAAATATTTATCAGCTGTTACTAAGTTACAAAACATCGCATTGAATTTCAGGTCTGTTTTCAAAACGACGACGAAAATATGGGCAAAAGCAAAACTGAAATAATAAAACATTTAATGAGGTACTACACTCGCGGCCCTGAACTTGCACGAATGCCAACGAAAAGCAAACTTCGAGAAACTCAAGAGACACGTCTTATAGAGTAGGAGGGGTCCCAGCAAACCGACTATTTATGTTAACACCTCACCAACTAGCCATGGTTACCAGGTGTACACACATATGCATCTTTTATTTTTGTGACTATTTCATTTCATTCACTTTTGTGCTACATTTTCGTCAACAACAAAAGAGCAGCAGATAAGTGTGTGCACAACACATAAAAGGTATACACAATTATAAACATATGTATCTATGCACGTACATATATGTATATACTATTTAGGTTTATGGCTCTTGCATGTGTACCACATTGAACCGTGATTCTTGTTGTTGAAAAACTTGTGGCCGAATTTTGAGGTGAATGAAAACTTGTTGACCTTTACATTCAAAATGATCCAACTGAATGCAGCACAAAAGCAAGAGATACAAAACTATGATAAAGCTGGAGAGCACAGAGATAAGATATATATAATTGCTGGCAAAGCAATCTCAAGATCTCACTCTCCAGCTGCGCATGTGACTAATTTAAAACAATCCAATTTGACTAAATTTGCTTTATTTCAATTTCAAATTTCATCGCATGGAAAGTGAAATCAGAAGAGTTCAACGCCATTTCCAATGCAAATATAAAAAATAAAATAAATAAATAAAAAGTCTATAAAAAAAGCAAAAGTATAGACTTGCTTTACTCTGCCCATTTGCATATGGGTTTTGTGTAGCATTTGCTTTCAGTCAAAGTTATTGTTAACATTCTTCAGATTTATTTGGCATCGAGATGCTAATTGGCTTATTGACTAAGATCGGTTGGCTGCATTATTATCGGTGTGAATTAGCTGATTAGAATTATTTATGTATATAAATCAGATAAGTCGTCTTCAATAAACAGCGTGTGCGGCCTTGTTAACAATTAGATAAAGAATTTTTTTTAGATAAATTTCTATACCGTATGCACATGGAAATGAATTAAAATGGGGTATTATGAATATGAGAAGAAAGACTTAAGTGAGAGTTAGAGAAGGGATGTAAGATGTGGCTTAACTTTCAAAGTCAATTTTATATTGGTTACAATAAAAATTTAATATTACATATAAGCAAGATTTTATTATGCTTTTCTGGTTATACATCCAGTTAGTCGAATTCTTGGTTGACAAAAAATGAACCATTTCTTCAATGCAGTATAACTTAATCATTCTACTCAATAAAAATTTCAGATAAATGCCTTCAAATACTTGGAAACGAATCAAGTTTTCAATTAAGCTTAATGTGTCTCAAGAGTTTTCCACCTAGTTCTTGTGGAAAAAATTTAAAAAAATTTTTAATTTAATTTGAAATTTTAACATTTAAGAGTTTTATTATTCTCAATATCTGAGGATTCAATGCAAGGAATATTTTATATTATTAAGATCTTAAAAACATCTTTAGTAAAAAAATTATATTT